TTCTTGTCAAAATATATTTAATCTTAATAGCATTTTCATTTTTATACCCTCTTTTTAAAGCATGTGTCTCTCACTGATTAAACAGTACTGTATTTTCAAACTCAAAAAAAAATACATAAAATTGTAAAGCAGTCAATAAGTACCATAAGCAGTTCTAACAAGAAATAATTGCTTATATTGTTCTTTTCCCCTAAGCTTTATTCTAGTTTAATTTATAAATTGAATTGCTCATCTTCAAGAATTTGCTTATATGAGCAGCTTTATAACCTGTTTGTATTGTCTAATATTATTTGAAGTCTGTCTTTTATTATTGTTGGTGGAGGTATGTTTATATTTATATGAATGTGCATGCATATATGCAAATGCATTCCATTTATTTTAATGCATATATCACTGGAGGTCAGATGAGTGTGTTGAAGGCCACCCTGAGCTACCTGATATGGGTGCCCATAACCAAACAGATTCTTTGGAAGAGCAGAAAGTCCTGGACATGGCCTAAGAAGAAAGTAGTTTGAGTTCTCTTACGTCTTTACTTATTTTGCCCAAGTGTTTTCACTCAGTAGTCAGTGGTTTTTTCCTAGTTGTTAGAGCAGAGGCAGAGGAAGCCAGCTCTTAAATAAAGACCATTGGGCTGTATAACTTTTTAATATCCTGATCATTGTTACATCTTAAAAAATATTTTCTAATATTTATACTTCCCCTCAGCATGTTGCACAATTAGATCTTACACTTATAGCAAGTTATAATGTTTTACTTTTTTGAAGACAGCCTTTTGAAATTAAAAGTAATTAATTCAGTAAGGTTTGCAGACAGTATACTGGTTGTATTACTTGGGAGAGGATTGTATTTCTATTCTGTACTAGTGGAAAAAGAACTATTGCTGTTACTGGTAGTCTCCATTTCCGTTTCTTTACATTTTACATATGTGCATGTTATGTTCTGGGTTTAGTTTGAAGCTGGAAACATGAAGAACCTGGTACTGAAGATAATATCTGGATCCTTCCCTCCTGTTTCTCTGCATTATTCCTATGATCTCCGCAGCTTGCTCTCTCAGCTGTTTAAAAGGAATCCTAGGGATAGACCCTCAGTCAACTCCATATTGGAGAAAAGTTTTATAGCTAAGCGAATCGAAAAGTTTCTCTCGCCTCAGGTATGTGGCAACGTTACCCCTAAAGTTAAACAGTAAGGTTGCAGTGCCTAACAGAAGGGCTGTAGAAGTCACCACAGTGCCTGGGCTGAGATGCCCTTCTCAGACTGTGTTGGTGTCCCTTTCCTTTCCCTTGGTTTCCAATTGAAATTAGTAAAGCTTTTAGTGATTCACTTTTCTTACTTATAAGCTACGAGCTAAGAGATACAGCCATATTGTGGGGTGGCTGTGAGGAATAAAGAATAATGTGCATACAGTGCTTAATGTCTAACACATACATGTTTAAAGTAATTAATATGTGTTACCACAATGTATCATACTATATATATATATATAATATCAGCATAATTTACATGATTGACTATATGACAAAACAGTTGGAAACCATGATTCTGTGGGCATGTATAAGTGAATATACTATATTGCTGTATCTCTTATATTTAAGTATAGCTGCAAAACAAACAGTTATGACAGTAATTGAATTTGGCAGGTTTTATATAAGATTTTGTCAAGGCAAATGACATCAGTTATTCAAAAATGTGATCAACTGAAATTGGGTTGTTTTACTTTTTGTGTTTAGTGGCCTTTATTAATTTAATCAACATTAAATCCTTTTGTAAATAAGATATGTAGCAAAATATAACCCTATTGCATATGTATGCTTCTGGTTTAACAGAACATTCCTTAGAACAAATGCTCTTCAGAAAACAAGAGATGGCACTTGAATTTAATATTCAAAGAATGCATTAGTAAGCAAGAAGGCTTGCTTGACTCGGAGGGTAAAGGTTACTTGTATAAAACATAGCAACAATCTCAGAAATGTGTGTTTTATAAGACTTCTTTGTTAAAAATAATTCTTTCTAAGGCTGTTTAGATATAATGTACTGTTATTCTTTGGGCAGCTAACAAAAGCTTCATTTAATCTCATTGAAGTTACCTCCCCCTTACCAGTGTCGTTCGAACATAGTCTCAAGGCTGAAACACTGGAATCCACCTTCTTAGCAATGAAAGGGACATTGTTGAAGCCTCAATTACCAAACATAATATGCAAAGGGGTGGCAGATTATGATTAATAATAGAGTGTTTGTTATTAATTTGTTTGGTACATGTGGCATCCATTCCTTACTGGTATTTAAGCACCACTTGAATTTATGAAAACTTGAATATTTTGTTTCTAAGATATATTTTCTGTATGTCACTTGTTGAGCATTCAGCGAGGTGCTTTGTTTACATCTTTAAGGCTATAACTTTGAAACAGTTGATGAGCTTTAACAGCAGAGCTGTTTCTCCTTGTAGCATTATAATGATCTATATTGTATTAATTTACATTTTCTCACCATGTGGCTACACACCTGTGATCCTTATGCCTCAGCCTTGTAAATTCCTGGACAACTTTTATTTTTGAAACCATAGTTCTTTCAATGCCATTGGCCAAAATTAAAATTAGTAGGGCACAGTGTTCCTCCCTGTGTCCTGATAGATTTTCCTGCATGTGGCTTCACAAATATGGGTAACTTTTTTTCCTTAGGAGTCCAGGTTCTGTCTAGTAGAGCTCCCTGTGAGGATGGAAGTCTTCCATATCCCAACAGTCCAACATCACAGCTTTTGCTTACCTGTTGAATACTTAGTATGTGACTAGTGTGACCAGAGGACTAAACTTTTAAGTTTTTAATGATAAGTGGCCACTTACTGGTGATGGCTCTTAAATTGGACAGCATTCCCATAATATTCCAGAACCTTCTTGAGTTCTGTATGTACCATTTCTCAATTCATCTGAACATTTACATAGAACAGAAAGATGCATATTTGAAGAACTGAAGATTTTATTCAATTTGAGGGCAAGTTGGTTATCATAAAACACCCATTGAATCAGGCGTAGGATATAATCCTTTACAAAAGCTCAGCTAATCAAGAGGGTTTGGCATGCCATGAAGAGGACTCAGGGAATAGGGCACTGGTTCCCCAGCATATGTGAAGCCCTGGGGTCAATGCCCGGTTTCACAGGAAATGGAGCAGAGCCACCTGCTTTTCAGAGAATCATAAAGGAAAGCATCCCTGTGTTCACTAGAAAATGCATTCTCACCCTCTTGCCCTGAATTGCCTTTCAGCCAGACTTTTGCCATGATTGTCTTCTGCTACATTAGTTCTGAAGTGCAGCACAGTCTTCTGAAGGTCTTTGCTGGGTCCATTCACTGCCATCTCAGTTGGGGACAATCTTTGTATACTGTGAAGATGTGTCTTTGCCAAGGCTCCTCCTGGTTGCTTTAATAAAGGCAGGAGACGATAGGTGGGATTTCTGGGGAGAGAGGGGAAGAGGAGGAGGCATGAGGATTTTGCCAGCAGACTCTGAGCAAGTGCGATGTTCTGTACTGAGGAAAGGTAAAAGCCATGTACCAGAATGTAGATTAATAAAAGCAGGTTAACTTGAATTATAATAGCTAGTTGGGGTGCATGCCTAAGCTAAATGTTAAGCTTTCATAATTAATAAGTCTCCATGTTGTTATTTGGGGTCTGGCAATGCACTTAGTCAGACAAGAACAGTTGCTACACATCTTTGTTTCCGTGATTGAAGCAGAGCCAGAGAATTCATGTGTTAACATAACACCAGGTAGTATTGATGGTGTTGTTTGGAGACTTTTGCGTACTACTGCTATAGCACTTCTTCAGTAGGAAAGAAAAATCATCTTAGGTTGGAGATTTGTGCCTACTGGATATCTCTTCTACTGTTGAATATTCTTTCCACTGTGCCTTACTTCTCTGGAAACGCATGAGAAAATCCACTTGGTATTTTGCTCAAACTCAAATGGAGGTAAATCTTTGTTGATATCATAGTTTTACACTGGAAAAAATGTTAAAATAGAGAAAATTATGGAAAATATAAATACTTGTTTCACAAAATATATTTATAAGTGCTGAAGCCTCAATAATGGAATGTTTTTAATGTTAAAAGAGACCCAAAATATTTTTCTAGTGACATGTTTGCAGATGAGTGTGAACTCATTGGAGATGGTAAGGGGATTCACAGTAGACTTAAATAATGTGCTTCCAAGAGAGGCTCTTTGGCATGACTCTTGAATAGTTTTGACATAAATGAGGGCTATACATACATATAGAACACAGTGGACCCTCCATACATGTTTTGTTAAGTCACTAAAGTATAGAAAAGGCAAACAACATATGTGCTGTGTACTAGGATAGCTTGAGAAAGAAAGACTGGAGAAGTAATAGAAATATATTAGTAAGATTAGCAAGAGAAGAATTAGCTGGCAGGATTACTGGATTTTAATTCAGTTTATTAACATCCTTATGACTGGAAGAACAAAATAGATTGTGATTGATGAGTAGCTTTTTCTTTGTTTAGGAAACTGATTTATTTGTTTTTGTTTGGTTTGGGTTTTTGAGACAGGATTTCACTGTGTATCCCTGACTGTCCTGGGACTCACTCTATAGACCAGACTGGCCTCGAACTCAGAGATCCACCTGCCTCTGCCTCCAGAGGACTAAAGGTATGCATCACTACACTCAGAGGTGATATCTTTTTAACATTGTTTTTTTTTTCCCCTCTCTCTCTATCTCTTTCAATCTAAGCTTATTGCAGAAGAATTTTGTCTAAAATCATTTTCAAAGTTTGGACCACAGCCTATGCCAGGTAAATTATGTTTGACATGAAACTTTTTATCTGTTTGCAATTCTCAAGCTCTTTTCTAATTTGATCATATGGTTGAATTCCTCATAGTTCCTAGTTTATGGGTCAAATGTTTTGGGAAAACTGTACCCTATCACAGAGAAACATTATTAATATAAATTGCTTCTGAATCCCTACCATGACATCCAATAGTTAATAATAGTTATAGTTTCTATTTTAGGTTTTCCTACTACTGTGATAAAACACTATAACTAAACAGCTTGGGGAGGAAAGGGTTTAATTCCCGTACCTTTACACATCACACTAGACCCTCTAATGAGTAAGAGCAGGAACCAAGACCATGGAGGAATGCTGCTTATTGGGTTGTTCTCCATAGCTTGTTTAACCTACTTTCTTGTAGTTCCCAGGACCATTAGCCCAGGAGTATCACTGCCCACAGTAAGTTGGACCCTCCCACATCAATCATCAATCACAAGAGAGGCTTGAACACAGCACAGTATAGTGAGGGCATTTCTCAATTGAGGTTCCCTTTCCCAAAATAACTCTAGCTTATATCAAATTGGCATAAAACTAGCCAGCACAATTTCGTAAGAATTGACTAAATTATATGAATAATGTGTACTTATAAGAATTTGTAAAAGAAAAATTACATTAATTTTAACACTTTCATATTTTGATTTATTTTTCATGTTAACATGCATAATGAGTTTGAATGAAAATATATTATAAACAGTTGAATATTTTCAAATAAATTTTTCTTTGAAGATCTGAGTTTAATGGTAGCTTTTCATTGTAAACTATCATTTAATATTTTTCTTTCCCCCCCTAAAAATGAATACTTGTTGTAAGAGATTCGTAAAAATCCTGAACTAGAGAGTGTCCTGGAAGAGAAAGAAAGTTACTCCTCAGGCTGTGGGGAACTTTAACCAGAGTTAAATTACAGAATATTTGACTTCCAGTATTTCTTACTGGAGATGATATATTTTCTAGAGCTTTAGGGAGGGTGCTTCATTTAGTTATTAAGTTCTCTGACAGCTTCATGTATGTATATAATGCATCCTGTAATTCTCATACTGTACAATTTATCCAGATAACTTTTTTTTTTTAAGTCTATTCACAGATAGCTGCTACTGTGCCCCATTGGGATGTGTGTGTGTGTGTGTGTGTGTGTGTGTGTGTGTGTGTGTGTGTGTGTGTGTGTGTGTGTGTGTGTGTCCCCGTCTGTTTGTCCATGTCCGTGTGAAAGGGTGCCTGTGTGGGTACATATGTGAACCTGTGTTTATGCCAAAGAACAACTTCTGGTGTTTTCCTCAGAAATACCTTTCATTGGCATAGAGCTAACCATTAGTCTATAATGGCTGGTCAGCAAGCCCCAGGGATCTACTTGTCTATGCTTCCCATATAATCATGAGATTATAATTGTACGCCACCACTCCTGATGTTTTTATATGGGTGTTAGGAACCAATTCAGCCCATCATGCTTGTCACAGAGACATGCACTCACCTTTGGAGCTACCTTCTCAAAATCAGGAAATTCATATATACATACATATGTATATGTATGTGTGTATGCATACACATATATATGCTATTATCTTAGAGGAGTTAATCGTATTTCTTTAAAAAAAGACTTTCAATGCAAAGCAGTTGAAGCATTGATATTTACTAATGGATGCAAAAAACATTTGATTAAAAGTTTGTAAGGTTGGCAATGATTGTGAAAATAAAAAGGTACCATTCTTGAAGCTTTTTGGAATGAAAAATTCAATATAAAGAACTACTGAAAAAGAATTGTTTGTCTTTTCATGTAGGTAAAAGGCCAGCATCGGGGCAAAGCTCCATTTCTCTTGCCCCTGCTCAGAAAATCACGAAGCCTGCTGCTAAATATGGAGTGCCTTTAACATACAAGAAATATGGAGATAAAAAGTTACTTGAAAAGAAACCACCCCCAAAACATAAACATGTAAGATCATTTTACAAACTGATTAATATCAAGTTCAGTTTGAGCCCACGTAACGACAGCTCCCTGAGTTTCTTGACACTCAGGGTAGTCTTTATCTCCTTACTAAGGAGTGGTGCTCTGCTTTGTCCTCCTCTCTAACTTAGCCTTACAGAAGCAGTGGACAGCTGTTAAGTAGATACACTGAGTGAACAACTGGTGTAATAAAAACCGTAGCATTATAAATGAAGCCCTCCTTGCACCACTTGATTGTGTGCATACAAGTAAGTACCTGTGATACTCTTGCTAAAACACCAGGAAATTTGTGTATTTTGGAATTCACAGTCAAATCAAAATCTTAGGACTATATAAAGAATATGATCATGTGTGTGACAGTCTCCAAGATGTTTTAAAAAAATTATGGCCTAAAGTACTGAGTTATATGACTGGGATCATGGTATTAGTTGCAGGATATTGACACTTTTTATTCAGAGTTTGAATATGGAAATTTTAGTGTAAATCATTATTAGCTAACTTTAGGAATTAGCCATTAAATGAGTAAAGAGGAATATAGTATAGGAATGAGGAATGGCAGATACACAGGAATCAGCTGCTACTCCTAGTATTAAGAGAATACTCTGAGAACAAAAATTTAAAGATTTCCTCAGCCCCATCCATGAAGTTAATTCACATCCCATTTGGGTGGGGCATAGCTGTAAGCCTGTTTATGGTGACATCCACTGAGGTCCCACTGTCTGACACTGGAAAACAGAAAGCTATCTACTACAGAACTGAAGCCCACTGGCAAGCTGTCTGGATGTCAGTAAAGTGTACTAAGAAGCCACCTACACAGCTGACAAACTGAAAAACCTCCTGGAAGGCAGGCAGAATATGCCTGTAGTGATATTTTGTTTGTAATCTAGCAATTAAAGCTTGCCTGAGGATCACATAAGCCATTATTAGTTAGCTCCCCCCCCACACACACACACACTAATCTACTAGTTAGCTACAGAGGACAGGTAGTAGTCGCCACACTTTTAATCTCAGGAGATAGGCAGAAAGAGAAACAGAGCTCACACTTTTAATCCCTGCACTAGAGAGGAGTATAAGGCAGGAGCTGAGTGCAGTCTGAAGTTTGGTGGAGAGAACACTGAGTCACACTGAGGACAGGATCACCCCCCCCCCTTTGGTCTGAGCTTTGGTAGAGGTAAGAACTCTCTAGTGGCTTGGATGCTTTGCTTTTCTGATCTTCAGATTGAACCCCAGTATCTGTCTTTAGGTTTTTATTATTTGTGCTACATATGCCTAGTGCTGCTGCTGTGCTTTCTGGGAAACCGAGTGACCAACAGAACTCTGTAGGGAGCTGTCTTTGGGGTACTGCTGAAATTCAGTTACAAACTAGCAAGATAGAGGCACAGTGTCTGCAAGGTACCTGCAGGATTGAGTACCAGTGTGTTCCCACCCATGCTGCAGTAACAGAAGAAGTATGGAGCAGAAGGAGAGGTTCTTTCCATCGACTGCTGATGTGTTAATGAGCAAAAGGAAACTATTGCCATGCCCAGTTGTGATAGCAGGAACAGGGCAGTATAACTGGCATGCTGGCTTTATCATTTGTTGATTCCATTTATTCAGCTATCAAACAATGCCATCATACCCTTTTCTCTCTGTGGTCATTAAAAAAAAAAAACTAGAACTGAAGACTTTCCCTATTTCTTGGACTTTAAATCCTCTATGACTCTTATTATGCCCTAATTTTCCAACCTCAACATTTCTGGTAGTTTTTTTGTTTACTTTGTTTTTTGAGACAGAGTTTCTCTGTGTAACACCCTGACCATCCTAAAACTAGTTCTGTAGACCAGGCTAGCCTCGAACTCACAGAGATCCACCTGCCTCTGCCTCCTGAGTGCTGAGGTTAAAGGTATGCACCACCAACGCTTGATTGTATTATATTTTATTGATATGAAGTCAATTGACTTCATTACTACAAATCAACTTTAAAAAATTTATTATCCATACCAAAATTTATTTACATTTTTCATTTCTTCTAAATAGATTTTTAAAAATATTAAATTATAGATAATTTTTCAAGGGGTGTTTATTCCAAACGGTCTTTGTATTTGTAGCCCATGTTTAACAATTATAATATAGACATGCATACCTTGTCTGATTTCTTGGGGATAAAACTTGTTGGCCATGGTGTAAGACAGTGCAGACATACTTATCTTTATGTAATTAGGTACATATCATATAGAATAATCACAAAAAGGAATACACACTTTAGTGAACTTGTAAAAATAGAGCAGTTTTGTCACTTGGCCACACACTGTTCTGTGAGAATGAAGGAAGTGGTGTGCTGAATTAATGGCATGGTAGAAGGTCCCTTACCTTTGACCAAGACTGAAAAGAAACCAAATGTATGATCAGTGTCTTTGTATAGCTGTCAGAATCAAATAATGTGTTTCCTTCATTTTCACTTAATACATTATAAATGAACTGCATGCTATGGGAATTTTGGATTCCTACTATTAATATTCAAAGTAATGGACTCCACCTCTCATATTCTGAGTAATAGAAAAGTGGGTTCAGATGATAGCTACCGGCTTTTGGTTTTTAGTCAAGGTTATTGCTTTTTAATTTTTTTAATCAAATAAGCATGATTTTTCTAAGCAAATACATTGAAAACTAAATAAAAATCCACACTTGGGGTGTGCCATAACTTATTTTAAAAACATTCAACCTAACACAAATTCACTGTACAAGAGTAAATTTGCTTAATGACACAGAACATACACTTAAAATGATGAAACCGATTTTATAAGTTATATTTTATGACAATAAAAAGTATATAAATAAAATTATGAAAATTTAAAACAATGATAGGAAAAAGGAAAAGCACAGCTATCAAATAGATAAGAAAATAGTCAAGGTCATAACAAGGGAATGGATTAAGAAGAAACACGAGGTTCTGAAGGGTACAGTTTTTTAAAGCAGGCTTTCACTGCCTCCTCAGCTTGGTTGGAATTGCTTGCTTGTCCTCTGACCCCAAAGAGCTGAGAGGGTGTCAGCTAGCACACTGGCTGAGGTTTGAAATAAATGCTTGTTGTTTTCCTGAATGATTCCTTTTTAAATTAAAGACCAATTCACCAACAAATATAAAGCATCTTTTACATTCAAATTTGCAATAGTTTATTGATAGTTGAAAATTTTTAGCTTGAAATGATTACTAATATATATAATTATCATATGTAATATAATGATACCATGTTTATTCAGATAAATGTAAGCTAGTACATGTTGTTGGGTTTTTTGTTGGGTTTTTTTGTTGTTGTTGTTGTTGTTTGTCTTGTTTTTTTAAAGGCTGCTGGCCCTAAGCCACCAGAGGGAGCTCCATGAACACATTTTAGTGTTTGGGCTCCTTTTTGTTTTGTTTTGTTTTTGTTTGAGTGACAGAAAAAAAAATAATTTCTCTATTACAGTGTTTGTGTTTATCTCTACAGTACAGAAATAACATTTTGGAAAATGCCCAGACTCTCTCAGAGGAACAGCTTGGAATTTTTATTCCATAAATACTTGAATAGTCTCTATATTAGTTAGGCAATAAGAGAAAGTCAAAGAGGAATGTGATCTTTGTTTCCATATCACTTACCTCTTAAACATCCTCTCAGGCTAAGGATAGTTCCTTGGGCAGAGACTCACTCAGCAAGTGATGGACAGTGCTTACAACAAAAGCCTGACAACCTGCCTTTCACTGAAACCCACATAAAGGGGAGGGAGAGCACCAACTCTAGTGTTGTCTTCGATATACACATAATATATACATTATACACACAATACATATATGCACACAATAGTAGAGGACGTTTAGTCATTCAAAGGGCAAAATTCTTGTTCTAGTAATTTCCCCCCTTTTTTCCTTCACACTCTTAGGGTGTGCGTGAACTTACTTTCCTCAAGTTAAGATTTTAGATGTGTGCCACTAGTTCATTAATGTTAATACTGTTTAATGGTTTGATTTTTGTGGTACTAACAGCTACATAAAAGGTGGAAGGTGTCAAAATAAAGGATAATGTAATAAGTAGAATATTTACTAAATAAAATGTCCTTCTTAGTCACATAGTATTAACATACACCATAAAGGAAAATACTAATAGTTGTAACTGAATTTATAAATACTAACTTTAGTGCAGTAAATAATAAGTATTAAAATAATAAACAGCAGCTATGATAAACGTGGTATACCAAGAATTTATCTAACATTGTGTGAATGGTAAGTATGTAGAAGAAAATACTCTTAGCCTTTTCAAGGAGCAAAACTTGAGAGATGGACATTTTACATGAGACCTTGGTTTTGTGCATTCTTTGGTGCAATATAAACTGGGGTAGGGTAGCCTTTGGGGAGGGCAGAGTTCGTTCTCAAAATATAAATTATGATCTTACTCTTTAATTCCACTTATCTTTTTAAAAAAAAATTGCTCTTTTGTGAGACTTGAGTATGATACAAAGAGGTATATATAAGAAAGCTCCTTACAGCATATAGATTAGGAAAACTTAATCAACCCAAAATCTATCCCCAGAGTAATAGTTAAATACATTATTTCTAGACTATTTCCTTGTTAATTTATTATAATATTGTAGTAAATTATTACCATAATGTAGAATTCTCAAGACACATAATTAAAAATATTTTGCTATCAAATAACACATTTTTAAAAAATCATAAAAGCAAAATTATGTGTGTGTATGTATGTATGTAAGTTTGTAAAAATGTCTAGAAGGATACTCATAAAAATACCAATACTGGTTATCTCCAAGAACAAAGCAGCTATGAATTTTACTATTGTTTAATTTTATGTAGTGAACATATATTGTATAATTTATTTTTTAAGAAAATTTTATTTATTACTGGACTTTCAAAATGATGTTTCATCACAGTATTAGAGTGCTTAAAATTAGCATCTGTTGGGGGAGTAAGCTCACAAGGCCCACCCCTTGTTGAGGAAAGACTAGCAAGTTGATGGCTGCTGGAGGAGGAAGTCACTTTTCTTTGGGTGTTTACCCCTAGTATGTTGCTCGTGCTTCATTGGATGGCCCCACACATGTGCATGTATGGACAGTTGGTCTCAGTTATAAAAGGACATGACATTGAGAGAGGTATGTGTGTTGAGGGGGAATCAAGGAGAAGTTGTGGGAAGAGTTGGGGAGGAATGTACATGATCAAAATATTCTTTATACACATATGAAGTTCCCATTAAATAAAATATTTTAAAAATATGTGTGTGAAGACAGAACTAGTTGATGATAAGGAAACCCCTTTCCATGGTTTGAGTGTTGTGTTCCAGGTTGTTAAGTAAAAGCTGTATCAAAGAGTAGTGTCTTTGTAAAGCCAATAATTTGAAAGAGTTACGACTACATTGGCTTTAGCTTTTCTTTAAACTTTATAATTTCTAAACAGTGTCTTAAATCTCTATTTTATAGCCTTTTTTTTTTTTTTGTTGTTGTTGTTGTTGTTGTTGTTCAGGCCCATCAAGTTCCAGTGAAGAAGATGAATTCTGGGGAAGAAAGGAGGAAAATGTTTGAGGTATAAAGATATATATTTACTTATTTTAAAGCTTTACAAAACAGTTCTTATGACAACAGCAAAATCCACTAACAATGTAGATCAATGGTTCTCAACCTTCCCAATGCTGTGACCCTCTAATACAGTTCCTCATGTGGTGGTGACCCCCAACCATAAAATTTATTTTCTTTGTTTACTCCATAACTGTAATTTTGCCAGTGCTATGAACTATGATGGTCTTGGCTATATCTGTAAAAAGACTATTTGACCCTCAAGGTTTTCAAAAGATGTGTTTCAAACAAACACATCTTCGTTCTGTCCATTCTCTCATTGCCCTCATCTCTTTGGGCACACCGCTCCTGCTGATACACTTTCTCGATGCAGATATTGAAAAGTAGAAGTTATTGACGGAAGTGTCCTCTGTTTGTTTCAGGAAGCAGCAAAGAAAAGAAGATTGGAATTCATGGAGAAAGAGAAGAAGCAGAAGGACCAGGTAGCTTTTGGCTCTTGTCTCCTCCCTTTGCCTGGGTGTAGCCGGTGAGGCCCAGGTTCTGAGAGTATGTCTCCACCGTTACAGAATAGTTTCCTGAAGGCCGAGCAGGTGAAGAGGCAAGAGAAGCAGCGAGTAAGAGAGGACGCCATCCATCGCCACAGTGCAGTCCTCCCCTCCCTCCCCCACGTGTACTTTTAAAGGAAATGCCCCAGTTTTAATTGTATTGCTAAATGTGTTCTATATGTTTTATATTAAGTAGTTGAAACGGTATCTTATTTATTTCTCTTTCCCCAAAAGTTGGAGAGAATAAATAGGGCCAGGGAGCAAGGATGGAGAAATGTTTTAAGGGCTGGAGGAAGCGGTGAAGTGAAGGTAGGCATTTGATACCCATGGAGCCAAACACCTTCACTCGGCCTCACTTTCATCTTGTTTATTAAAATGTGTACAGCTAGCTACTTTGTCTTCTTGGTATACAGATAATGTTTATCTAGAATTATGTAGCAGTGTTATCATTTATTCCTCACCTGTGGGTATTTGATATTAATTAATAATTGATACTTATACAAATTAAAATATTAATGTGAGGGCTGTAATGTAGTTCCTGCCAGGGGAATCTCACAAGTCAAACACAAAATCAAGTATGCTTTTTAGAATTTTTAGAATGTAACCTTGGAAATTAAGGTCTCAGACGCTTTTCTTAATTGGCCATTGCCAGACTCTCCAAGATAGCGGTACCCACCCTCTATATACTCCTCCTGCCCTACTTCTGCAGAACTAATTTCCTAAGCGTATGGAGGGAGCCTGCTGATCCTCATGCATCTTTGCTTTTCTCTTTCTAGCACCCCTTCCTTTCCTTTCCACTCACAGCTCTGCCTCCATTCACCTAGATAATCAATCGTCTAAATAGCCATTTACCTACATTCTTTAATCTACACATTCCCTTTGGGCAAATCTGACGCTGTAACCTTGAGCATGTTAACCTTCCTGAGTTTATTTTTAATGCCTAGAGCTTTTCTACTAGGGCTTAGATAGAAAAGTCTTTACCATCTTCTGTCAGAATCTTCTACTTTCCCATTGTTTTCAAAAGTAGCAACCTATACTTATACTGGTAAGCTGAATTCTGGAACAGTCTGGGATTCCCCCTCCCTAGTGTATGCACCTTGTGTTCTGTCCCCTTGAGCTTAAAAAGAACTTGCTAATGGTAGCTCCTTTGATTAGATTGTTATATGGTGAGTGAGTAAATGAGCATTCGCATGATTGATTACATTGACAGAGTAGACAGGAACCGGAAAAGAAGTGTAGAGAAATCTACCACTACTGACCTGGAAGGTAGCAAACATGGACATGGCAAGAAAGTATGGATGACTTCCGAATTATAACAGTGATTTCTAGCCAATAACTAAGGGGAAAGTATCCTTAATTATGATGCCACAAGAAATGAACTCCCTAGAACCATTGAGCTCCAAGATCCTGAGTCTCAGATACAAAAGTAGCTCTGGCTGACAGCTAAATATATGTATCTTAAATCCTACACCTATACAAATCAGGGAACTTAGGAGATAATAAAGAGATATTGTTTGTTACAATTTTTTTTACACAACAGTAGAAAATAGATGTACTTTTCCTTTGTATTGTCATTTTTATTTTGACAGCAAGCTGTTGGTCAGCTTGCAGTTAAACTCTTAATTCACCTGTCTGCTCCCATTATCCTCTCCATGTTGAAACAGACAATTGGTGGCTATCAAAATGGCTTACTTACCATTCTTCTTTCTTCTCTCAAAGTTATGATGTGGACTAAAATGCAGTTTGTTTGTTACACATTATGTATATATACTATCTTTAATTTGTGTTGTTTTTCTCTCTTTTGAAATGTTTTTCACGTCACATATTTACAATTCAGTAAGCATCTTTTTTTCCCAAGTCAGTACTAAAGTAGCCATTACATGATATTTTAAGTAATTCATTCTTATATGAGTAGCACTTATTGCTTCCTGGTCAATGACAAATAACTCAGAACTTGGCCCTTGATTAAAAATTAGCTTATTTTGTATTTAAGTGTAGCCCAGGTTAACTTTTTTTTTTTTTTTTTTTTTTTTTTGGTATAAAATTTACCATTAGTATTGAGATTTTTGATGGTTGCTTCCTTACTCATTTAAAAGCAATTTTTTAGGTTTATTTTATTTTTATGTGTGTGTTTTGCCTGCATGTACGTATGTGCTCCTCATGCGTGCTGCTCACCACAGAGATTTGAAGAGGGTGTCACATTCTCTGGAACTGGAGTTTCAGTTGGTTACAATCCCACCATATGGGGATTGAACCAAACACAGGATTTCTGCACCAGCAGCAAGTTCTTCTAACTGCTGAGTGAATTCCCCAGCCCCATTCGACATTCTCCTTGACAAAAACAGTAAAGTATTTCCAGCTCCACCTCAGCCAGCTGAGTCCCTGCTGTATTCCTGTAATGCCTGCTGTGGCACTGGGGCTCTCTCTCTCTCTCTCTCTCTCTCTCTCTCTCTCTTTTAATTTATATATTTTTATTTTATGTACATTGTTGTTTTGCCATGGGTGTCAGGTCCCCTAGAACTGGAATTACAGACAGTTGTGAGGTACCATGCAGGTGCTGGGAATGGAACCCTGGTCCTCTGGAAGAGCAGTCAGTACTCTTAATCACTGAGCCATCTTTCCAGCCCTGACACTGTGGCTCTTATAAGATGATAATTTTTTGTTTGGTTTTTGGTTTTTCAGATCAGGGTTTCTCTGTGTATCCCTAGCTGTCCTGGAACTCACTATAGACCAGGCTGTCCTAGAACTCAGATCTGCCTGCCTCTGCCTCCCAAGTTCTGGGACTAAAGGACTGTGCCACCTGACAAGATGAATTTTTAAATAGTTAGGTACTCTGTCTTTAATAATGTTTATTTCACTTTATAGAATTCTACAAAAAGTAGATTCTGTTACTGCCTGTACCTATTCCTAAGTTTAAAATATTTACTATGTCAGGCTGTTGGATTTGTGCATAGTTGCTAAGGATGTGGAGTTACAGTGTAATATGAGTCAAATTAGAGAAATTCCCAAAGGAGAGATGAATGAAAACTGAAAATTAAGATAATACAAAATTAGTAATTTTATTATGTATAGACAGTGATACTTGAAAGTACAAATACCTGACTTTATCAGACAATTGCAAAATCCAAGACTTCTTGGTTGCTTCTGGCTTTTTTGTTTGTTAGTTTTAGAGTAGTTTTGTTTGCTTGGTTTTGCCGTGTTTTGTTTTGTCCTGTTCTGTTTGAGACAGGGTTTCATGTAATCCAGACTCGCCTTAAACTCACTACTAGAGAACATTATTAGAAGCAGGAGGATTAAGATTCATTAGACTGTCTCTCCTGGAAATGGCTGCATAAATAATGCCAGAACAATGGCAATATCAGTGGACATATTAGTGGGGAAGGAGAGAAAACAAAGAAGTATAGGCAGCTGCTGAGTGCTGGAAGAAATCGAGTTAGCTTCTCCCGGAGATGAGCCCCCTTATTGGTTACCCAGTGCAAAGATGTCAGCCCTGAAACAGTATGCACACAAAACAGCAGACGCAAAACACACACACACACACACACACACACACACACACACACACACACACACACACACACCAGTAAAGAAAAAGAAGCTATCAACTTTGTAGAGAAATTGGGGCCAGAGGGGAGAAAAGTGATGTAGTTCTATTTCATTTAAGAACATTAAGGAAGAAAGGAAGGAAGGAGGGAGGGAGGAAGGAAGGAAAGGGGGAAAGAAAAGAAGGAAGAGAGAAAGAAAGAAAAAAAGAAACTTAGCACTAGAAAAGAAAAAAAAAATGTTGCCTTTAAGAAGATTCAAGGTAGAATCTGCATGCAAATCCACACCATAGCAAGCAGATCAGTGATTTTTCATTGATTAAAGGGGCATGAGGGATCTATCCAGGAGTTATTGTGGTTGTAGCAGTGGTTACATGAATGCTCATGTTCATCAGTATTCATCAGGCTAGTATGGGAGAGGTTGCTTAGTGTGTGAAGGTACTCACAGCAGTCCTGATAACCTGAGTGGGGTCTCTAGGACCCACACAGTGAAAGGAGAAAACTAACTCCTTCCTGCGTGTTCTCTGACCTCCGCACATGCTCCCTAGCACACAGGCACACAAGATAGAAACACAAAACACAAAACACCCTTTCTTCTTGTTTTCTTACCTTGCTGTATACAGCAGCCCTCTAACCAGTTTTTCTGCTTTTGTCTCTCATTTCTGCGTGTGCGTGTGTGTGTGTGTGTGTGTGTGTGGTGTTGACTTAATGATCTTAAAACTGGCAAGTTTTAAAACACTTTCTGTTGTTTATTTCACAAGTTCATTCTTCCCAGGCCCTGTAGTGCTTAGCTCTCACCCCTTTCTTTTTCCTTTCCATGTGTAACACTCTGCTAATCTTCCTTATAATTATTTGTGCTGATACTTCCTTCCTCTTCCTATTGCAGCATACCCACAAAACATATGCATATTTTATTTCAGTGTCCTTGACTATTTTCTGTTTTTTTTTTTTTAAATATCATTATCAAGATTAGGTTAAATAACATCTTTTTCCAAGACTTTAAAATAAAATAGGTTTTTAACTGATGGCATTTATTTATTTATTTTTTCTGGTTTGTGAATCTCCTTACTTTAAAGTGAAACCACTTGACTTTACTTTTGTGGGTTTTTTTTCCCAACTTGTTTGAAAAATATTTAAGAGTAGCTATATTTTCCTTCTATTTGCATATGAAATATATTTAAGTCATGTTTTTAACCTTATTATCTACTTGGTGAATGGATTTGGTGTGTATCAGAAGTCACATGATTTTTTAAATAAGATTTTTTTTTTAACTGTGATATACTCAAATTCTGCTTGATTTCTAAACTACGTATTTAAACTTCATAGAACTGACTCATATAAAATGTAGGATAGAAACATGTTTCAAAAGCTTCTTAATTAAGTTTAGGTTTTTCCTTATTTATATGAATTTAGTGATACCTTAATGTTTTTGTTTATCACATTGTTATTCTTTACTGTTAGTAGGGAGACTACTACGAGAACACAGATTTCTTATGTAGGAAAACATTTTAGTATTTGTTTTGGCTATGTGTTTATTAATATGTTAAAACTAAGTAATCATTATTTTTAAAGTTAAGCATTGAGATTGACTTTTTCTTTTAAGGATGACTCAGGCCTCTTGGGCCCTGTGAGATAAATATGGCATGTAAGAGCTCTTTGTTTAATCCCTAGACTCCCTTTTTTGGCAGTGGAGGGGCTGTCTCTCCATCACCTTGTTCTTCTCGAGGGCAGTATGAACATTACCATGCCATTTTTGATCAAATGCAGCGACTGAGAGCAGAAGACAATGAAGCAAGATGGAAAGGAGAAAGATATGGTCTACAGCTACCAGAAAGGTATGGCTGTGTTCTGCTGAAGTTGATTGTGCTTTGCTTCAGAGAAAGTAATGAAGTCACTGTGAATAGTTACCTACAGAGGAGTTCCACATGGAGTTTCCCCAGGATGTCCCAGTGGGGCAGCAGGTTATCACTATTTCCCTGATGCTGATGCTATTGGAAAAACTTTGAAAAGATTGAAGGCCATGTCTAAACAAACCAATGCAAACAGGTTGGACTGCGATAACCTATGTATTCATCCTGTGTGTAATTTTGTCTTTTATTATATCTACACTTGTATATTTTTTCCCAATGTTTACACAGAATATTTTTTGCTCCCTAGATACTATAAATCTTCAAGTGAGGATTTGACCCTTGATTATACCATGACAAATGTGTAGCTCTTCATTTCAGCCTGATTATTGTGGCCTATTTTAATGTTAGACAGAACATACTATTTAAAGGAACATGTGATAACTGTCTGCCAACATATGGTTATAATAATTTCATCCACTTGCTTTGAATAAATCAAAGCATAAATTTAAAGAGAATCACGCTTTAAATAAAACTCCAAAGCATGTCTACTTTTTATCTTTCCCTCATTCCCACTTTTCTCTTTGTTGTCTTAAAATGTCTCCTCTTCACATTCATCTCCAACTTATATCTTTGTGTGATCCCTTTCATCAGATTTTTTTCCATTGAATTAACTTGATAATCGACAATAGCTGTACCTTGTGTACTTTTAAGTATGCATATGTGCTTGCTTAGTAATTCTCATCTCTTCTATAAAACTTTCTGGTGAGACTATGAAATTTTAGTTGTCCTTTTCTTGTAATTTTAAAGTGTTACAAAAAATCTTTCATTTATTTGTTATAATTAAAATATATTGAGGATATTTTACAAAAATAATTGTTTTGGAGGGGATATAGCTTAATGATAGAGCTTGAGTAGCATGTGGGTCTCTTTGTTTGCTCAATAGGAAAAGGTTATGGTGAAAATAAATGTAAAACTATGTTATGATTACATTATAAATTGTTTGCAGAAGCCTGAGGTATGAAACTAACTATAGTCACCCTGCCCCGCCCCCTTGAGGGAAAGTAAAACTATAAGTTCAAATTACATGCATATTTTTGGTTAATGGCAAAGCATATGTTATCTTTGTGATGCCATGAATTGAACCTAGGACTTAAACATGGTAGGTACCACTGAATATTTATCTATCCTTTGCAAATTTTATATGAGGGTTTTTTCCCTACGTTACTGGTCTTTGTACATTTTCTTTTAAATTATTAGATTTGACTTTTAAAACAATTTTAGGTTTCAGAGTGTACCCTTTTTCTACTTATGTACAGAGTAGACAGTCTTTAATGTAGACTCTCTTCTGTCTAATATCTAAAAACTTGTTATTGACTTGCAAAATGATTCAGCAGGTAAAGGTACCTACTACCACTGAGCCTGTGGACCTGTGTATGACCCCCATGACTCATATGGTAGAAAGAAAATGACTCCTACAAGATATCTTCTGACCTCCACACATGCCTATGTGCGCATGCGCACTCAAATACACATGCAAATAAATTTATTTTTTTCACTAAGTTGTTCATGCCCAAGTTTAGCTATGTCTTTTTCCTCTGCTGTTGTCTAGGAGTTTTATAGGTTTATATTTTACTTTTAGACTTCTGGTACATTTTGAGTTATGCTTTTACAAAGAATGAGTATCTAGGTTTATTTATTTATTTATTTATTGCATGTGGATATACAGCTCCATAGTATTTCTTGAGAAGATAAATCATGGCTTACCTATGGTCTTTGATCAAAGATGAATTGGCTGTGTGTTGCTTACTTTGAGCTCTGTAATGTGTTCCTAATTTGTCTATTCTGTAACCAATAACCACATTGTATTTATTACAGACACTGTAAAGTGAATCTTAAAATCTGATTGTTTCATTACCCCATCTTTTCTTCTTTCAGTATTTAGTAGCTTATTTTGGATAATTTCACCTCCATTATAAATTTTAGATCAATTTGTTCATATGGGCAAAGTTAACTTGCTGAGATTTTGACTCAAATTGTGTTGAATACACAGATAAGTATGAGAAGAGTTGACATGTTGACAATATGAAATCTTCCTATTATATCTGAAATCTTCCTCTGTTCTTCGGTATATTTTAACAGACTGTTAATGTTTTCTTCATATAGCTCTTCGTGTGTTGTTAAATCTGTGTCTACTATTTCATTTTAGAGGTGGCTAATATAAATGGTATTGGACTAAAGTCCAACTTTCACTTATTCAGTGCTGACGCATAGGCAAGAAGTTGGCTGATGCATGCTAATCTTGTGCCCTGTACCCTTGCTGTGATCTCTTACTAAATTCAGAAATTGATTTTTTTCATCCTTAGACAGTCATGTCATCTGTGAACAAAATCAATTTTATTTCTACTTTCTCAATATGTATATGTTTTTTCCTTCCTACGTTAGACAGTACCCCAATATGTTGACAAACAGTGGCAAGAAACAAATATTCTGTTCCATGCTTCTCATCTCTAAGCATTATGCTAACTGGCTAGGCATGGTGACACACAACTTTAATTCTAGCATGTTGATGGTATAAGCAGGTAAATCTCTGAGTTTGAGGTCAGCCTGGTCTACATAGCAAGTTCCAGGGATACTCTGTCTCATACAAGCAAAACTAATACATTATGCTTACTTTTCGTTTATAAAATTATAGAGTTCTTTTAACAAGTTTTCTTCCATTGTTTTCCTAAATGGATATTCAATTTTCTAGATACTTTAAAAGGTATCAGTATGCTCATATTACCTTATCTAGTTGGTTGATGTGTAGATTTTATATGCTGAACCAGCCTTATGTGCCTGAGATGAATTCATCTTATTTCTATATTATTGCATTTAATTCTTTCTTATTTTAGTGAGGATTTTTGTGTTTATATTCGTGAATGATAATTATTTACTATTATAGTGTCTCTGTAACTATACCAATTACCCTTTTTATATTGAACATTAGTAATTTATGTCTCATCTATTCTTCACCTTGTTGGTGACTTACTGAATATTTTCATCCTTTCAAATAACCAGCTTTGGAATTACTAGGTTGTTTTGTTTGTTTGTTTGTTTGTTTTTAATCTCTTGACTTGCTTTCAGTTTCATTGACTTGTCTTGTTAGTTTCTTAGTGTCAGGGTGCCATGAGACTGCCCTAGAACTTGGATCCTTTTGTGTCTATGTCCTGAGTCCTGAGATTACAGGCATGTGCCATCACACCCAATTATAACTTTATTATTTTCCTTCTACTTTCTTTGTATGTAGTGGCTTTTCTCATTCTAATCTACATTAAAAATGATGGTTGATTTTTTTATAATGTTATTTGCAGTGCTACAGATTTCCCAATAAACATGACTTTCTCCATTTCTTTACATTTTCTCTATATATATCTTCAGATGTAAGGTGGGTTTTATTTATATATATCCTGTAATTAATGGGGTTTTCTTTTTGATACCTCTACTCCTGGCAGTCTCTGTCATTGTCATTTAAAGGGATTGTTGATATATTCTGGTTAGTGTGTGCCATATTTCTTATGTTTTTATATTCATGCTGTATTTTTCTTGTACCTCATTTTTTAGGTCTATACTTTCTCTTTTGTGATTTAAATTGAGTACTTCATGTGATCGTGTTCTCTTTTTTGTTTGTTTGTTTGTTTGTTTGTTTTCCTTTTGGTTTTTCGAGACAGGATTTCTCTGTACTGTTTTGGAGCCTGTCACCCTGGCTGGCCTCAAACTCACAGAGATTTGCCTGCCTCTGCCTCCCGAGTGCTGGAATTAAAAGTGTGCACCACCACCATCCTGCGTGATCCTGTTCTTAATCATGCTTCTTTTGTAAACTTCTTCTTAGATGATTTCTTAGATTTTGCTATACACCTGTAATACAAACCTAGGTCCTCTTTTATATTATCTTTATACCTCATAACCTCAGAAGGCCTCTAATTTCTCCCTGTTATCCATTATGTTATTACTGTCATTCATGTCACTTAGGTCTAGGTGTGCATGGATATGCATAGACGTATGTAGTACAGTACTGCCTCACTACTGTTACTGTAAAGAAGCTAGTATCTACTAAATGAATAACGTAAAATAACTAATAACTTCATCTTCGCTTCTTCCTTCCTTGATGCTGCTTGTTTATTACTTCTTTCAGAAGAACTTCATTTAACATGTCTTGTAAAGCAGGTATAATGACAACAGATTTCTCCAGGATTTGTCGGAGAAAGTTTTTACCTCACTTTGTGTTACAATATTACAGAGTACAGAGGTTAAAATGATTTTTTTGTTTTTTGTTTTGTTTTTCTTTCAGCAGTTAAGTATTTCTTCACTTTATTTTTTGTGTCCTTTCTGGGGAGAAGTTGAATGTAATTCTTATCTGCTCTTGTATGTGTATGTGTTTTCTTCTTTGAAGACTTTATCTTTGATTTCCCAAAGCTTGGCTATGGTAGGGTTTTTCTGATTATGTATTTTGCATTTGCTGTTACTTGTTCTCGGTCCTCTGGATCTTTGGTTTGGTGTTTAACACCAATCCAGGGAATTCAGAGTCATTATTGCTTAAATGATGTTTCTGTCTTTTTAATGTTTCCACATCATGCATATTGCACCTTTTGTAATTGTCCCACAGTTCTTTTTTTTTTTTTTGTGCATTTTTGTTGTTGTTGTTGTTTTTTTTTTTTTTTTTTTTTTTTTTTTTTTTTTTTTTTTTGCATATAGAGTATTTTTTATTTAATTTTATATAACAAAGTCCGATTAAATGAAAACAAACATTTATACACAATATTTGGGAATTTGGGCGTCGTTCTTTCCAAACTACTTCCTGCTGGTAAGGGGCGCTGTCTTGGGGGATTCGAAGAAGATTCAGATATCCTAGCTGTAGTCTGTAGGGCTGTTTTGTCCAGCTGTTTGGAATGTAGGATCAGCTTGTACTCTGTTTCAGGCGGTCTGGTGTGATCAAACCACATTAGTCT